TCAGCAGCAGTGAGGCAAGGAAGATGGCAACTGGAACCAGTCTTGATTCCCCCCTCTCTCAGGGTCCTGTTTCTGTGGAATATTTGCTGATGTTTGAGCATCAAAATGATGACAAATTCCCCACCCATTTGTTTCTTTTCCCCCAGCCCTTCCCAAGGCACAGAGCAGCCACCCACCCCCTGGCTTGCAAAGCTCAGCAGAAGGAGCCTTGTGTCAAGCAAGGGAATGAATTTCTTTCCATCCCACTTCATGGAAACAACACGAGTTCTTGCCTTGTGTGATTTTCCTGCTGTGTTTTTCCATGTTTGTTAGAGACAGAGACACAAGGCAGGCAGCAAAACCCCCAGCAATGCAACCACTGGTGCTTGCAATAAGCCTGGTTAGTGTTAGGACTTTTAATACTCCTTTCAAGTATGTAAAAATGAACAGCTAAACTCACCCTGCTGCAGAGGCACGAGGCACACCAATTAAAAATATATCAATTAAATATAATATGTGCCTTCATTAAGCCTGGCACGTGCTCCCTCCCAGGCATTGTGTCTTCCTGAGCTGGTTGTTTTGCTTTCACTTCCTTCATTCCAGCTTGGTTTTTGGTTTCCCTGGAAGTAGGACACACACTTTTTGCAGGGAGGTTGGCTGAGGCTTTGAACTGCAGTTCTGAATAGTGCAGTGGAGAAGAAAGCTGGGTGTCCATTCCTGCAGAGCCCTCAGAGAGCAGAACTGATGTTGCTAAAATCAGCCTTGGCAAAGGAAGGATCTCAGTGGGGTTGTGGTGGGACAGGGTGGAGGCTCCAAACCCCCCTTCCGGCTCCCAGAGGGAGCAGTGGGGGGAGCAGACATCATCTTTCCCCACAAAAGTGCTCTGAATTGTCCTCTGGAGGTGCCCACCAACTATTTTAGGGATGTCAGTGGGTCCCCTGAGGTGGGTATCTTGGTTCCTGGTGGGGTGAATGTCCCTAAGGGCTTTGCAAGGTGTTCTAAGAACAAATCCTCCCACTGTCCTGGGGCACCTGAGCACACAGGAATGGGCCTCCCTGGGGAATGAAGCTTTTTCCAAGCTTTGTACAAGGCATGAGGCTGAATCCATCACAAATAGGGTTGGCAGAAGGAAGCAAGAAATATATGTACCATGTATCCTGTGTTAGACCTGAGAGCAGCTTCCAGGTCCTGAAGGGGCTCCAGGAAAGCTGGGGAGGAGCCTGGGACAAGGGCAGGGAGGGATGGGAGCAGGGGACAGGGTTTCCAGCTGGCAGAGGGAGCTGGAGCTGAGATGGGAGGGAGAAATTCTGGGCTGTGAGGGTGGGGAGAGCCTGGCCCAGGTTGGCCAGGGAAGCTGTGGCTGCCCCATCCCTGGCAGTGTTGAAGGGCAGGTTGGATGGGGCTTGGAGCAACCTGGGCTGCTGGGAGGTGTCCCTGCCCATGCAGGGGTTGGAACTGGATGATCTTTAAGGGTGATGGCAGCTAAAGAAGTTGCTCAGGTGATGAGCAGTGAGCTGGAGTAACTGGCTGAGGCTTTCAGAAGATGGATGTGCTCCACTTGAAGGTGGTAGGGGTTAAAACAAGGATGGTGGGAACCACCATTTGAGATTAACTTGCAACAAAAAGTTAAGATGGACCCATCATTTCAGGGAGGAAAAAAGAGAAAACCAGAAAAAGACCTTTTAAGCCTTTCCCAGGGGCAGCAGCTTTGGGAGGGGGGCTGGTTGTAGGCATGTGCTGGGGACCTGCCTTCTCTGCAGAGGTGCTTCAGAAAGCCTTTGTGTGATGGCAGTTGGCCATGTGGTTGGACACAGGACAAGGGTGTAGCCAGTGCTGGTTCATCAGACAAGAGCTGCAGTTAGAAAAGGACCTTTTCCTCTTTTGGAAAATTTAAGACCCAAAAACTGACTGAATTCTGCTGGTTCCCTTCTCAAATCCCACAGGATTTGGCTCTTGAGGTTCTTCTAGATCATCTTGCTTGGTTTTGTAAATATTTCTCCATGAACTAGAAGACAGGGAGACCTGCCCAAAGCCACTTCTTCTGCTGACTGTCCCTTCCAGACTTTCTAAGGACCACCCAAGCAACCAGTACCTTGTCCCACTGGTGGTGCCTGCTGTGCAAGCATCTCAAAGGGTTTTAACTGGGAATAAAAAGCCTTGCACACCAGGCTCAGCCTGTTTGCCAGCTGGGAAACATGAACCCCATGTTCCTGGTCCTTATGGATAGAGGTGACATGTAAGGAGGGGTGGTGGCTCTGCTGACCTCAAGGTGTGGATCTTCATGCAGGTCACTTGGCTCAGGAGTCACCATCCCTGGAGGTGTTGAAGGGTGGTTTGGATGTGGTGGTGGTGGATGTGGTTGAAGGGAGAACTTTGCAGAGCAGGGATGATGGTTGGACTGGGTGATCCCAGGGGGCTTCTCCAACCTGAATGGTTCTGTGAGAGGAACCGTGGTGTGAAACCTTGTCCTTTAATGGGGGTGGGGGAAGAAAGAGGGCAGCAAAGTGGTTCTTAGGGAAGTTGTATCTTCACTGTGCTGTTTGACACCTCTTCTCTGTCTCCACTCAAGCTACACTTCTGATGAAGCAAGCCTGGCCACAGACCTCCTCCTCCTGTGCCACGGAGGGCACCTTCCACCTCCCGGTGGACACCGGGACCGAGAACAGAACTTACCAGGCTTCTTCTGCAGCATTCAGTAAATAAACCTTTTCTTCTGGGGTTTTACACGGTTGGTTTGTGCCCATTTGTCTCCCCTCCTGTGGGTTGTTTTTTTTTTGGGGGGAATGGTTTTTTTGGGATCAGCCTGTTTGCGATGGATGGGATGGTTTGTGTCCGTGTAGGTGTCTGTGTGTCCATCCCTGGTGGAGGTGTTGCAGGTACTGGGGGTTCTTGCTGACACCTGGTAGCAGATCCATCACCTGCTGCTGCCAGAGCTGCCTGGTGGGGCTGTTGCAGACCCTGGTGGGACTGTTGGAGTCCCTGGTGGGGCTGTTGCAGACCCTGGTGGGGCTGTTGCAGACCCTGGTGGGA